TCTTGTGTTTACAAGAAGGTCAGTGGGAGTGTGATAGTATTCCTAATCCTATATGTCGATGACATATTGTTAATGGGTAACGATGTTCCTGCTCTCACATCTGTAAAGACTTGGTTGAGCGAGAACTTCGCCATGAAGGACTTGGGGAATGCTAGTTATGCCCTTGGCATAAGAATCTACCGTGATAGGTCAAGAAAGTTGATAGGTCTATGTCAAAGTACATATATAGATAAGGTCCTTGATCGATTTAGCATGTCTAACTCGAAAAAGGGATCCTTACCTATGTTACCTGGCACGGCTCTTTCCAAGAGCAAGAGTCCTTCTACTCCCGAGAAGAAGGAACTCATGATGAAAGTCCCATATGCTTCTGCAATTGGTTCCATCATGTATGCCATGATATGTACTAGACCTGATGTCTCATTCGCTTTAAGCGTGACCAGCAGATACCAAGGGAATCCAGGTGAAGCACACTGGACAGCGGTCAAGAACATCCTAAAATATCTTCGGAATACTAAGGATGCATTCCTGGTATATGGAGGTGAGGAAGAGCTGAAAGTGATCAGTTACACTGATGCCAGCTTCCAAACCGATCGAGACGATTACAAGTCACAAGAAGGGTATGTGTTTTGTCTGAATGGCGGAGCATTTAGCTGGAAGAGTTCTAAATAGGATACAACCGCCGATTCAACTACAGAGGCGGAGTACATGGCTGCTGCTGAAGCAGCAAAGGAAGGTGTTTGGATAAAGAAGTTCATTTCTGAACTTGGAGTGGTTCCTAGCATTAATGACCCAATCCCGTTATTTTGCGACAACACTGGGGCCATTGCACAGGCAAAGGAACCACGATCTCACCAAAAGACCAAGCACATTGTACGACGTTATCACATCATACGAGAAATCGTAGACAGAGGTGATGTGGAGATTTGCAAAGTAGGAACAGACGACAACATAGCCGACCCCCTGACCAAGCCCTTGGGAAAGCTAAAGCATGAGGGTCACACTAGGTCAATGGGCATTCGACCGATGCCAGATTGGCCATAGTGCAAGTGGGAGATTGTTGGAGTTGGTGCCCTTATGGCCAACTGCTGTTGTAATATCTTAGATATTTTCTGTCATGTAGAGGCAGATGCATTAAGTTTACAAACATCTCAGGCTAATGTAAACTCTTAATTGCATTCCTAGAATTATATTATAAGATGTTTATCAGAATGAGTCTTCTGATGTTGAGACTGACATCTTGTCACTTAGTATAATTCTGAACGGTCTATAGTCGAAGCATTAACGAGAGTGGGATATTGTTAGTGCGCGTGAGACTAGTGAGAGTAAGATGTTTGACCTAGTCTCTTGGTCAATGATGGAGTGTTCGCATCTACTCTCGGGCATATATTATCGTTAATAATAGGATGCCAGACCTGACCCACCTTAAGGGCAATGCCTAGACTTTTAGTTTATGCTCTAAGTGTCCTTAATGCGACTATTGGTATAACGATCCTCAGACTTGAAGTATTACGTTCTTCGAATGTGTGAACCCGCATTCTTTGATTCATTGTCCTAAGCCGTATGAAATAAGGATGGTACACAGGCTTTGTATTGGGCATGCCGCTGCACATATTCGAAGACGTAGATTACATAAAAAAGAATTTGTCACTGCTACTCAAGCAGAATAATGTCTTGTAGGGGCCCACTGATAAGTATGACTGAAGAAATGCATGGCCATGCTGAGATGAGTTTAGACATCTGTTCTCATCAGTCAGACTTGTTAATCAGTAAATAACTTAATGGCTACAAGTTGGATATTTTAGATCCCTTGCACTAAGTTAAGACATTGGGACAAAAGGATCTACGTTATACAAAGTCTTAGTCGTAGAAAGGTTTTGACGGAGCAAACGTCTGAACTTATAATCTGGGGGTAATAATGTGTTGCTAGATACCGCTTATTACTTATAGTATTGATGTAGAGTCAATACTGTGGCCAGTTTTATAAGTGCCTATATGGGTCACACACTTTGAACAATTTAAAGAGTAAGATTATAAGAAGGGATAATATTTAATTTGTATATTATAAAATAGTAAAAATTAAATGTTCAATATAATATATATGTATATATATTATTGTACACGCCATATATATATATATATATTTATATATTTATATATATATATATATACATAGTACACACGCCACACATATGTATATATATACTTTACTTCAAGCCGTGTACACACATGTATATATGTTACATTATATATTATATTGTGTACATTTTTTTGGAGTGTCATTTTAATTATGAAAATAATTATTTTGAAAAAAATTATTTTAAAGTATATTTTATATACTTGTTTTAAAATGTTTTGGGTATTTTATTTTATATCATTAAAATTATTGATGTCAAATAAAATACACTTTAAACATTTGAGAGGAGAAGAAATTTGATTCTTCCCCCCTTGATTTTCGTACCACATGTATGGGCATGGCATGGCTTTGTCATGTTGCTCTTACACTTGGAACATGTTTGGGTGGAAAGTACATAGTACTTGTGTACTTCTCACATGTGTTTTTTGAGCATGCTTCTTCCTCTTCTTTTTCTTTATTAGTGAGCATCGGCCAAGCAAAGAAAAAAAAGGGAGTGAAATATTTGAGTTCCCAAACATTAATATCTTGTGTAGAAAATTGATATAATATTTTCCTTAAAATATTATTGATATATTTTCTACTATTTAATATACAAGATTAATATTATCCCTCTTAAATCTTTATATTTAATATACTATTATAATCTTTACTAGCATAAAGATTATAGTAGACTCTGGAGATTGTTCGTGTGTCAAAGTTGGAGGCTGGACGCTTGAACGGCTACGTTTGCTCCTTCAACACCTTTTGCTCGACTTCTCGTTCATACCGCTTTACCGGAGAAGGTATAAGTTTCTATTTCTAGCTATAGTTTTAGTACGTGTTCTTGGGCTAGTATCACTATTGGGAGATTAAATTTTTGTATTTCCGCTGCCCTCCCAACCGTGGTTACCTTTCAACAGGATCACCCCTGCACTCCGGTTGTCATACCAAAACGGTAATGAGCCGGGCTCGACGAAAATCTCGCAAGTGGACTAGCAAAACCGGGTGGTAGCCGTAACCAGACTACCATGTACGTACACAAGCCCACCTGATGAAAACCTGTTGGATCCCAAAGGTTCCTAGACGGGCCCATTGTAGTAGGCGCACGAAAGCCTGACCTCCCTACAACAGTATGAACATGATCATAAACCTAGGACATGCGTCTAGGATTAACATGATGAATGCTTGATATATTTACCTTTGGTCAACGCCAAGAATATATCAAATAAATAACATACATAATGAAGTTTAACACTTCACGCAACATACTATCACATTCTGGGTCAATATGGTCAACGGGGCTCGTTCTACAAACTGCCCGAAAATCTTCCCGAGGAACGGTCGACTGTACCCTACTGGCAGTCGACCGTGGGCTGCAGTCTAGGTCTGGGTCACAGACGGTCCACCTTGGTCATCCGTCGCAGCCGGCAGTCGACCATCACGGTGGTGACCGTCGGGATGGCCAAGGGTACGGTCCACCGTCTGAAGCGATGGTCGACCGTCCCGAAGACAGTCTTCTGTCTTTGGCTACGTTTTGTTCCATTTTGAAAAATTAACACCTTGATTCTTTCCAGAACAATAATACAAACATTGGTGAATATATTCCTAGTGATTCCTAGGCCAATATATATAAGTTTTACGTAGTGAACGTTTTGATGGCTAACCTGCAAACATGCATAGATTCTATGTAGGTTGCGTACAATATTCCTATGAATATAACGACATAGATTATGAATGGTGATGATGGAGACTTGATGAAGAAATAATATTGGGGGGTTACAAAATGGAATGTGATGAGGATGGGGAGTGATGGAGTTTTAATGGTGGATTATGGGGCCATTGAATGGAAAATAGTGGTGATGTTGAGGGGGCCAAACCAAAGGGGTTTGGGGAGTTAAAAATTCCATTTCAATTTTTGTAGTGTAAAACTTACCCAAACGGTACGCGGTTTTCCCCCCAACTAGCTCTGAATCGAGATCTGAGTATGTTTCTAGAATGAGATTGTTGAAACCAATTTAATGACATGTTCAAATAATTTTTCGTAGAACTTTTATTTTTCCCCAACTCCGGTCCGGAATAGTAATTAATTATTTAAAAAAGCAATTCTATTAGACTAGGTTGCAGGGCGTTACATTGTTTATAAAAGCTATGACTCTCCATGCTTGAAGAGAATACGTCAAATTAATCATATTGGTCAGGAGCATATAATTGATGAGGAAGGGGAAACTAAATGGGACACTGGAAAATTCACATTCAAGGAAGCATACTCCGTAGTTACAGATCACTCCAATAAAAGATTAGCATTTAAGTATGCTGGGAACACATTCTTCCATTTGATAATAACCTTAGGAAGATTGGCTACAACTTACCTAGCACGTACCTTAGCTGTAAGGCAGACCCAACTTCACAATTTGCAAACTATTTCAAAGGCCCTGCAAGGAGAGATGGGATTAACCTCACTCAACATTTCTTGGAATGATGGTTTACTTCTAGCGTTAAACATCTAGAAGGTATGTTGCGAGTAATCACACTGGGGATTATAGCTTGGGTTCTTTAGAAAGACTACAATACTCTGAAATACGAAGGGAAAGCGAAAGATTATAACTTACTTATTGCTGATATCTACAACACTCTTCAAAATTGGTTCTGGGGTGTAGCGCAACCAGAAGAAGACCTAGAGGAACGGAACTGGAGCTGATCAAGATCTCCACTACTTGTGACAACAAACGCAGCAAAACGAAGGAGGAGCAGGTGCGCGTAACCCAGGTCTCGTCAGTAGAAGGGAGAGGAAGATGACTTTTGTTTGATATGGAGCTTGCATCTGTTCCCATTTGACTTTTGTTTCTATTTGTCTTTGCTTCATTCTTAGCTATCTTTACTTTGGTTTTGGGCCAATTGTGGGAGGCCCACCCCATGTTTTGTTCAAATTTACTTCATTAATTTATTGGGTGAGGTTCCCTAGACTCACCACACCGATTTTGGTGTTCGGTTGATGGGATTAAATATAGTGAATCGGCTGTCCGCTCCATTGAGACGCAAAAACAAGAAGGCAGTGTCATCTTCCACGTCTCCTTCTCCATTCACCTCACTATATAAACTCCTAAATTCTTCACCATTATTCTTCCAGAAGAAAGCTATGAGTGTAGAGAGTGAAGTAGTGCTGTCAATTTGGTGTGAAGTCGCTGGAGCTAGACACAAATATCGCCGGAAGTTTTGCTAGAAATTTTCCAAAACCATCGTTTAGCTCCAAGGTAAGCCTATAGATATATCTAGTGACTAGAATGATCGTATAGATCGTTTCTACGTTCATAAACGGTCGTTTGGTTGAGTTTTGTGTTTGACATGCTTGAAGAACCAAGAATCATAAATCTTGATATTGTAGTTAAAACTTTGATTTAATGGTATTTAAATGATCTATGAACATTGGAGAACATTTCTATATAGTTAAATTGAAGATTGGTGGTTGAAAATGATGTTTCGAAAATTTAACCCGAGGTTCAAGATGAAGTGTTGTCGGCTGGGTTGTAAGAATGCTCGACCATTCTGCCACAAAGGTCGACCATTTTAAGATCAAACAACCATGGTTGCAATAACGGTCGACCGTTCTTCTACAAAGGTCGACCGTTCTAAACACTGTCAGCAACGAAAAATGCTATTTTTGGAGCTATAAAATCCTATTTTGATACCAATCAATTATGATCAATATAATGGTGATTTCTTGAAATAATAATGATTTTTTTGACAAATAAAATCTTATGTGATGCATGACGGTAAGCTAGGGTGTTAACACTCGATGCTAGGCCGCTATTTGTTATTGAATATCATGATGATTGATTAAACCTTGATGAATATTATGATTGAATAATAATTATGAATGATTGAATCATGATTAAAAATGAATATATTGATGATTATGAAAATAATGTGTATTGTTAAGGGTATCTAGAATAACTCTAAGATATACCCATATTAATGATGATTTGAAGGGTATCTATAATAACTCTAAGATGTACCCAAAATGACCATTTTAGTTAATTGATATTGATTTCAAGGGTATCTAGAATAACTCTAAGATATAGCCATAGTGATGTTGATTTTAAAGGATATCTAGAAGAACTTTAAGATATACCCATTTAAGTTAGGCCTTATGGGTATGATGCCCGGTGGCTAGGGTTAAAACGTATGTACGAGATCCAAGAACCAAACTTGAGTACCTACTCTTTTGGGGGTACCACCCAACCCAATAGTGAACACTATGCTGTCGGTTTCCCGTTGACCTTAAGCGATGGTAAGTTTAAGATTTTGAAAACCCCCTTTGAAAATTGTATCTTAAACTAGGCCTAGCTTAAGGGTTGTTTAGGAGTACCTTAAACTGGAATATAGTTTAAAAACCTTAAACTAGATTTCATTTAAGAGTTGGTTAAAATTAGTGCCTTAGATTAAGAGTAGTTTAAGAACACTGTTGAAATACTAAATGTGGAACATTGTATATATCATGAAAGGACTTGAACTGAATATTGTGAATACCATGCACGGTAAATGATTTGAATTGAATATTAAGAATGACTGAGGAATGTTGTATATGAATGATGAATATGAATGATGAATGTTGTATATGAATATTAATGTTGAATAATGAATGATGAATACTGAATATTGATTATTGAATATCTGAACTAAAAATTATGTGCATGATATCAAATGATTTGATTATGAATTGAGATTCAATTTCTATGGATGCCTGACCCATTAGATATGCTTACTCGGCTTCAACGTTGAGCGTGTTGTATGTTTTATTTGCTACACGTAGGTTAATAGAAAGAATGGTGTGACGTAATCCTCGAGGCAGAGGGAGGAGAGATTGTTGGAATGGATGTGATGGTTTTGAAATGAAGAACATAAATAAATTATGTTGGTGATTATGATTTGTTAAGCTTCCGCAATATTGAAAACTCCGTACTAATATGTTGTGAAAAATACTATTGTGATAAATAAAAGTGTTTGAAATGTTATACTCCCTCCGTCCCAAAAAGTCTTTCCTATTTACTATTACGGCCTCTCGATAACTCTAATTTATTTGCGTGCTTTCATTGATCATTTCACAAAATAAAATATTCTTGTCACCTGTTATCTTGTAGAGTTTCCGATGTAGTTTTTAAATATAATTTTTTTATGTCTTATTTCCTTACCAATTTGTAAATAAAATCATTTTAAAATCCACGGGGTTTTGCATGTTAATCAAAGTAGGAAATTCTTTTTGGGACGGAGGGAGTAAATTTTTACAATTACCAAGTTAATACTTTAGTCCGAAAAGGGCGGCAGACCTGGACGGATTAGGGTGTTACAGAGCAAGCCCGGGAAGTGCTTAAGAGTTCTCCCCTGGGTTTAGTTCACGAACGAAAAGACTTGGCTTGGCTCGCCACCCTAGGACTTCTGGAGTAGGTATTTCATCTTCCAAAATTATCAATGTCGTACTTTGGCTTTCGTTTCCATCTTTTGATTCCTTTTCGCTCAGGCCCATACCGTTATCACTAAGCTTGTTGAAGATTATCTTGGAGTCTACACCTGAAACTCCCAGGCGTATTCCATTATTGGTGAAAAAGAAGCAATGATCTAGGAGTTACAAGAGCAGGTCCGTGTAACACCCTAACCCGCGTGACCCGAATACAAGGACCATCGGATCGGGTTGTCACTAAATTGGTATTCAGACACAATAATTTTCAAAGCAATTTAAAACATTTAATTCAAAACAATATTTAAATATCCATCGGAGTTAATCAAAATGGTGCGGAAGCCTTTAAGTACTTAATCAAAATACAACCTTGGGTTCTTTCCCTTTAGAACACTAGACTTGTACCCGTGCGTTGCACGGTCTAATTATAAACTAAATAATCAGGAAAAGTATTGATGAAAAAAATGATAAAATTAAATTAACATAATTATATATAATCAAATATTAAAATAAAGGAAATAAACAATAATACACAGTGTGGATCCATTACATTATAACCTTTGAATTTATTTTTTTTACAAACTACATTGAATGTTTGAATTTTGTGATACATGTGGTTTCATTTCTATGGTCCTTTATTTATTGGATGTGAAGATATGAGTAAAGTTTTTGTTTCAAACTTCATATTTATGGATCTTTCACTCTCTTTATCTTTTTATATTTTCTATTTTAAGTATTGGCAGTATTCATTTATGATGCTTAAATCTTTTATGTATTCTATCTTCCTTGTTCAACTTGTTTTTTTCTAGAAAATAAAGAGTCAAACATCTGATGTTATATATATCTTTGTGTGTGTGTATGTACATATATGAAGGAAAAAATAGTAACTATTGTCGAACAAAGAAGGTGCCCCTAACATCCGCGCTAAGCAGCAACCTCAAATCTTATGAAGGGGAAAATTTTAGGATAAGATTGTGAGGGAGTGCGAATTTAGTATAAGGAGTATATATAATAATTGACAAAGAACCTATAAACTTATTCACTAAATGTATGGATTTGGTATATTTATTTATTTAATTGGATTTGACATAAAGCCACCCTTGAGCAACGTAATATCTTTTACTTTATTGAATTGGTAGGTATACATTTTCCTTGAGGAATGCACAAAATTTCCCTTGAGTAATGCCCCAAATGTTTTCTTGAGCAATGCACCAAATTTTTCTTGAGCAATGCACCAAAAGATTTGAAAATCTACCTTCTTAGTTGGAACGCTTAAATGTGTTGCAGTAGTAAATACTCCAGCAAAAAAAGATTTGTAGAATCTAGTAAATAAATGTTGATAGGACATAAAAGACTACTTTTATGGTTGGAAAATAAGATTTGGTAAATCCTTCAAGTAAAGCTAATTTCAAATAAATGAAAGTACTTTTAGAAATACAAAGTATTACCCAAGCAATATTAGCATGGATAACAATTCAAAACATTTAATTCAAAACAATATTTAAATATCCATCGGAGTTAATCAAAACAGTGCAGTAGCCTTTAAGTACTTAATCAAAATACAACCTTGGGTTCTTGCCCTTTAAAACATAAATAATTCAAACTTAAGTATTAAATATTAAACTCCTTTAGCTAGCATCCATCCACCTCTCTGCCCTCGCTACCCTCCAGGATAATTCCTTATTCATCATTCATGTTACCTACGTGTAGCAAATAACAAAAAGGGTGACACGCTCAGCATTGAAGCTAAGTGAGAACTATCTAACGTTTCGACTACGCACATAGATGAACCCACTAGCTTATAACTTCATACAATATCATGCACACAAGTATACAGTATAATATCACATAACAGTCTTTAAATAAATTACAAGTCACAAATCATTACCTTATTTTCTCTTTATCTTTAACTCATAACTTAAGTGCCAAGCTAAAATCATACTTCCTTATTTACAACCTTATGTTCAGACTTATAGCCACTACCCACGGCCATGACTCAAGTCTGCCTTATTTAATACCTTATGACACAACACAACCTGATGACCAACGAAGGAGTTCTCCGCTGGGTGGGTTGTACCCCTGTCCCCTTCGGAACGACAGTTCTTGGATCCCGTACGTACGTTTTAAATCGTAGCCGCTAGATATCATATCTGCAGGGCTGATTCTACCTATTGACATTTATGCTTACAATCTTGCTAAGGCAGTTCTAGAGTTCTCCTAGGTAGCCTAATCATTTATTTACAACATCTCTATAATTCAGGCTTATTCCAACAACAATCTCACTCCCTTATTTATTTCCATGACACAACAGGATCATAATTAATTATAACAATAAATATAACATCAATCAGACAATCAATCATACAACTCAATTAGCGGCCTAGTGTCAGGTGTAAACACCTTCCACTTACCGTCATGTAACACACAAAACATCGAGAATAATCCGGAAGTTGAATCAGAATAAACAAACGAAGAATCGATCGAACGGTCTGCCAGTCCGGTACCCCTTACGGTAACTTGGTACCGCCAGGCGGTACCTTGGTACCATCGGTCCGGTACCCCCGTACCGTGCGAGCGCAGGTACCGGCAGTGGCGACCTTTCGTGGCGGTAGCACGGTACCGCTAGGCGGTACCTAGCTAACGTCTGACGTCGGGAAGTCACCGGAGCAATAGATTTCGATCCGATTCCAAACCATACAATATGTAGTACGTTTTTAAAGATTATAATCATGCAAACCACACAATTTAGAGTAAGAAAACGTACCTCGTCTTCCTCGTTCACTCAATTCCAATATCATCATAAAATATAAATAAATCATAGCTCAATTATAAACAAATAAACCACGTAATCAATCATACGAAACTACGAACGTGAATTTCAAATCTATATACATAATCTAGTGTTAGATGTGCAAGTTCTGACCTTGATTAATAGACGAATTAAGCAAAACAAGAATCAATTGGCAAGGAAGATGGCAGACAACAGCGTCATAGTGGTCGGGTTGTTTCCTGCAAACAGGATGCTATTTTCCAGTGAGGTTTCTTCTTACCTCGTTTCCCCTCTTCCTCACGGGTCTGGTTGTGCATAGGGGGGGATAAAGACGAAGAAGGAGATGTGTTGGATCCGATCCGTGCTTGATCGGCGGAAGAATTATGTTGGTTTTGTAAATAGCGTGTGTGTATATATATGTACTCTAGGGGGGTTTTGGGATGGGTAGTTTCCTTTTTGAGTTTGGAAGTGGGTAGCTATAGGATATGTTTAATATATTATTATTTTATAATTAAAAATCTTTATATTTAATTATTGAACTGTAATGTCTATTTTACTCGCCACGCATTACACGTAAGTCCAAATCTGACAAACTATATACCGTTGATCACCATTTTACGAGATCTACCCAAAAACCTAATTTTTATTTAAAACGGACAACTTTATAAATAATTCATATTTTTGAGTAAATAACTTTAATATTTATTTTTATTAAAAATAATGGCTAACTACTAAGCCGGTTTTTGGGTCGTTACAGTCCGTGCTGCATAGAAAAACAATGTCCTCACCCTGGAAGCGAACAATCAGCTAAATGAAGACGGCAAGTTTAGAGTCCAAATGTAACGAGCAAAAGGAAGAAATTTCAAAACTTAATGAAGCCTCTGGATCCTCCTGGTTACATGAGTTAGAATCCACACTGCGGGAGAGGTATGCCCTAGAAGAATCTTTGAAAGCTCAAATCGCCCAACTCTCGACCCAGACCCAGGGCCTGGAAGGGAAGTTTCAGAAACTTAACTCCAAATTCACGGAACTTGAGTTTGAGAAGGTCGCCCTCCAGACTTCCGTGGGTGAGAGAGAAGCCCAGATCACAGAGCTAAAAGTAGAATTGAAGGAAGTCAAGCGAGACCGCTCTGATCTAAGGGAGAGCCAAATCCTCCATTTGAGGCATAAGATTGATCTCCGCAAGGAATTGACCTTTCTTCAGGAGGAGTTCAAGAAAACAAAGAAAGAACTGGCTACCCAGCAGGCTCAATCCCAACAGTTGATAATGGAATCGTCCCAATAGCAAGCCACCATCTTCAAACTTACCACACAGGGTATGGCGTCTCACACCCGGGGTATGTATGACATGCAATCCTATGTGTATGGCCAAATTGAGGAGGATCTCCCGCCTGGGATTAGTATGTTTGATTTTATTGAGCATTATGGGCTACTTACTAGACTATCTCCTCTGGAACCCTCCCAGACGTAATTTCCACATATTGTAATGCTAAACTTGTTTTTTGTTTTGTATGGTTATGACGACGACTTGTCTTTATTTGATGTTAACTCCTTGCTCTGGAATTTTGGAGTTTGACCTATAACCAACTTGATCTTACTTTAGTATTTTCCGCGCTTTGTGGTTTTTAATCTTATCCCTTTGCACTAAATATCCAGTCCATCTCCGTTACTCCGGGCCCAATCCAAGATAAGGCCCACTTCAATGCGGCGCAACTGTAGTCTTTCTTGGGAATCCGCAACCAACTCTTTCGCCAACTGCTTATCTTGGTTTGACTTTTCCTGCTTCCTTCGCATATCCCAAAGGGTTTTACCCCTATATAAAGGGACCTTAGGCATGCCAAGTTCATCAATACAAAACCTTCTCATTTTTCATCATGGTTGATGGCACCAAGAATCCCATCTTCATTGACCTCACCATCTTTGATTCTTCGTCTTCCAAGTCTTCCTTGCCAATATGTTTGTCTTCCTCTCAACCCTCTATAACTTCTAAGAAATTGGTGGTGGTGAGTCCACCTGGGCCCCATAATCTCCATTTCCCTCCTCAATGTATTCTGGGGGCTCCACCCTCTAACTCTGGCTAGTCCCGCGAAGGTGTTGTTGCGGAGGCTTCTTCTGATCGCCGTGGCACTTTCCAGTCCCAGAAGAGGCGCAATCCTGACGCACATACCACTCATTTGGTCTCTGGAGCCAGGCCTCCTTCCCAAGACCATCACACTCCTCAAGAAACATTCGAGAATTAGTCAAAGGACTGGGGGGATTACGACATGGGTGGAGAGGTGGATCCGTCCATCCAGAGGGAGAAGGACATCCCTTTATGGGCTCCTCCGCCTCCTTCCCCCTAAGTGCACGGATGCAATAGGTACTTTCACTGGATCCATTGCCTTCATGCCTTCCTTCACCCAAATTGAGGGGCGGATCAAGGGGTATGGTGTTCAATCCCAACCCTTTGGTACCCTTTCGGCACTAAGATCTCCATCAATCTTGGGTTAGGGAATATATTTCTTCCATTGATGCAATAGGCCCTCCTTGGACCTCTTACTTCAATGCTCTCTCAACTTGGTCTCTAAGAACCAGCGGGAGTTTATGTTCAATCCAAACCTAGATGTGCCCATCCGGGCTTGACTCTTCCATACTAAAGGTTGCCAGTCACATTCCATATTTATCACAATTTTTTACTTAACTAATATTATCTTTTGTAGTAGATCACGGATAAAGCTCATTATCATAACTCGAAAGAATGTAATCCTTTGTACGAGTTATCTTAATGAAAAACATTTTTTTCTCCTGTCTTTATTCCTCTTTATTTTACATATATGTGCGCTCTACGTGAAGAAAAATGTATTTCTTTACCTTTACTCCCATTGTGCTGTTCATCTCACTCCATAAAGGTATTAGGTAAAGTATAGCATTCCCTATATCTATAACACTCGATTAAGGCAAGATCTTTTCTGCATGCTGCCTTGGAAGCGTCAGTTTTTCCATCTTCTTCTGGGGCTTGAATGGTGGTTTACTAGGCTCCGGCCCTCTAAGTCCGTTTGCCGATCTTCCTAAGGACCGGGTAGCGAAAGTACTCTAAGTCCTTTTCACATTCCCTTCCTTGCTTTGACGGACGCATAAATCTTTTCTACCTTCAGGGGCATAATCTTTTCTACCTCCCCAATTTTTAGCAGGTGGCATAAACTTTTCTACCTCCCTGTATCAGGGGTATCCCTCTCCCCCCTTTTTTGAATCTAGAACCATGAAACAACACTTGGTCATATTGGTCATGAAGAAAGAGTAACAAATTACAACCGGATTACTGATAAAACTTAACCAAGTGTTCTACGTTCCATAAACTATCTATTTATTTTCCTTTGGGAGTCATTAGCTTGTAAGTACTCGGGTGCAGGACCGCTTTGATGACATATGGACCTTCATAGGACTTTGCTAACTTTCCTCCCTTTCATTGTCTCGCTCTTTTCCCTTTTCCTCAAAACATAATTGCCTACCTGGAATGCTTTTGGCTTCACCCTTTTATCAAAGTAGTATTTAACTTGTTTCTTATAATTTTTTGGCCAGATCCGAGCTTCTACCCTCCTTTCCTCCACGAAGTTCAACTCGATTCCTTGATTTTCCTCGTTACCATGTGGATCATACTGCTGTTCTCTCCAAGTATGGAGGACGGCTTCCACCAGTGCCCGGGCTTCAAAGCCATATGCCAATCCAAATGGTGTGTCTGTGGTGGCTCTCCTGGGAGTTGTCCGATATGCCCATAAGATCCTTGGTAGTTCATCTACCCAACTGCTGCCTTTAGCCTGTAGCTTCTTCTTGATCCCATCTAAAACTATGTGATTTGCATTCTCCTCTTGTCCATTATCCTGTGGATATGCCACCGAGGCTTTGCCGTGCTGGATCCCCCATGTCTTCAAGAACTGGGTAAATTTCCTGCCTTCAAATAGGGTCCCGTTGTCAGTGACTTTTTGTTCCGGGACACCAAACCTACACAGTATGTTGGTCCCTATGAATTTCATCATTTGTTGCTCAGTGATTCTGGACAGGGGCTTAACTTCCACCCATTTAGTAAGGTAGTCAATGGCTACGACCACCCATCTGGCATGTTTCCTACTTTTCGGCAATGCTCCGACCAAGTCTATCCCCCATCTAGCAAGGGGAACCACCATGCTAATAGGAATGTAGTTCGTGGCAGGCCGTCTGGGCATGTTCTGGAATTTTGGACATTTGGGGCACTTGCACACATAATCTTCACAATCTTTCCTCATAGATGGCCAGAAATATCCTTGGATGATGGTCATTCGAGATATAAAGTAAGGGCCTTAGTCCGCAGCACAGATACCTCTATGGATTTCTTCCATGAGTTCCCGGGCTTCTGCTACTCTCAAGCATCTAAGCAATACTCCATTATGGGAGCGTTTGTACAGGATTCCGTCATGTACTATGTAACTCGGTGCCCGCATTCTTTAGAGCTTAGCCTCCTGTGGATCCTCTAGGAGCTCCCCGTCTTCAATGTACTTATCCTCTAAGAGATTAACCTCCTGTGGATCCCCGTATTCTTGTGGATCCTCTAGGAGCCCAATTTATCCAACCATTCGGGCAGATTCGTAGCTACCTAAGTTCCCACCTCCTTGGTCAAACTCAGGCTCTCTATTTCTTCCATAGTGGCCAGCTTGCTGATGTATTGCAGGGACTTTTCGCTTAATCTTGACAATACATCAGACTTGTTAATCACTAAATAACTTAATGGCTACAAGTTGGCTATTTTATATATCCCTTGCACTAAGTTAAGACATAGGGACAAAAGGATCTACGTTATACAAAGTCTTAGTCGTAGAGAGGTTTTGACGAAGCAAATGTCTGAACTTATAATCTGGGCGTAATAATACGTACCGCTTATTAGTTATAGTATTGGCATAGAGTCAAGACTGTGGCTAGTTTTATAAGTGCCTATATGAGTCACACACTTTGGACAATTTAAAGAGTAAGATTATAAGAAGGGATAATATTTAATTTGTATATTGTAAAATAGTAAAATAAAATTTTTATTATAATATATATGTATATATATATTGTACACGACTTTTATATATATAATATATATGTGTATACTTTCTCACGCCACAAATATATATATGGATACATGATAGTGTATATACATATATGTGTAATATGTATGTGCGTACATATATATGTATGTAATATACTTTCATAACGTGTACACATATGTAATAGAACTGATGTCTCATTCGCTTTAAGCGTGACCAGTAGATACCAGGGGAATCCAGGTGAAGCACACTGGACAGCGGTTAAGAACATCCTAAAGTATCTTCGGAATACTAAGGATGCATTCCTGGTATATGGATGTGAGGAAGAGCTGAAAGTGATCGGTTACACTGATGCGAGCTTCCAAACTGATCGAGACGATTACAAGTCACAAGCAGGGTATGTGTTTTGCCTGAATGGCGGAGCTTTTAGCTGGAAGAGTTCTAAACAGGACACAACCGCCGATTCAACTACGGAGGCGGAGTACATGGCTGCTGCTTAAGCAGAAAAGGAAGGTGTTTGGATAAAGAAATTCATTTCTGAACTTGGAGTGGTTCTTAGCATTAATGACCCAAACCCGTTGTTCTGCGACAATACTGGGGCCATTGCACAGGCGAAGGAACCACGATCTCACCAAAAGACCAAGCACATTGTACGACGTTATCACATCATACGAGAAATCATAGAGAGAGGTGATGTGGAGATTTGCAAAGTAGGAACAGACGACAACATAGCCGACCCCCTGACCAAGCCCTTGGGAAAGCTAAAGCATGAGGGTCACACTAGGTCAATGGGTATTCGACCGATGCCAGATTGGCCATAGTGCAAGCGGGAGATTGTTGGAGTTGGTGCCCTTATGTAAACTCTTAATTGCATTCCTAGATTTATATTATAAGATGTTTATCAGAATGAGTCTTCTGATGTTGAGACTAACATCTTGTCACTTAGTATAATTCTAAACGGTCTATAGTCGAAGCATTAACGAGAGTGGGATATCGTTAGTGCACGTGAGACTAGTGAGAGTTAGATGTTTGACCTAGTCTCTTGGTCAATGACGGAGTGTTCGCATATACTCTCGGGCAGATATTATCGTTAATAATAGGATGCCAGACCTGACCCACCTTAAGGACATTGCCTAGATTTTTAGTCTATGCTCTAAGTGTCCTTAATGCGACTATTGGTATAACGATCCTTAGACTTGAAGTATTACGTTCTTCGAATGCGTGAACCCGTATGCTTTGATTCATTGTCCTAAGCCGTATGAAATAAGGATGGTACACATGATTTGTATTGGGCATGCCGCTGCACGTATTCGAAGACGTAGATTACGTACAAAGAATTTGTCATTGGTACTCAAGCAGAATAATGTCTTGTAGGGGCCCACTGATAAGTATGACTGAGGAAATGCATGGCCATGCTGAGATGAGTTTAGACATCTGTACTCATCAGTCAGACTTGTTAATCAGTAAATAACTTAATGGCTACAAGTTGGCTATTTTATATATCCCTTGCACTAAGTTAAGACATTGGGACAATAGGATCTACGTTATACAAAGTCTTAGTCGTAGAAAGGTTTTGACGGAGCAAACGTCTGAACTTATAATCTGGGGGTAATAATATGTTGCTAGATAACGCTTATTACTTATAGTATTGGCATAGAGTCAATACTGTGGCTAGTTTTATAGGTGCCTATATGGGTCACACACTTTGGACAATTAAAAGAGTAAGATTATAAGAAGGGATAATATTTAATTTGTATATTGTAAAATAGTAAAATAAAATGTTTAATATAATATATATGTATATATATATCTCCGTTATGAGACTCTTATATTATATATCTCCCTAAATAATAAATAATAATAAATAATATAAGAGTCTAAGGGTGTTACCTTCGACTGATTTCCGTTATGTTCCGCTTAGACTCCGTCTCTTACTTTTTCTAATTATTAAGTGGATGATTGTTATTAGCCATTCTTGCCGCTCACCACCCCACTATCTCAGCCGCTTCCCATCTCGCCAAAATCATTTTTCTCCTTCACTTTGCTCATCCGAGACGCTTTTCCTCTTCAATTCGCAGGTATTTCGCAGGTTCTCCTTACTTCTTACTCCCGATGACTCCGCATGTCCTTCTTCGATTCTTTAATTCCAATTTTTGATACTTCAAATTCACTGCTTTTTCGGTTTGACAAATTGGAAATCCAGATAAAATTCATCCTTTTCCATAGGTTTGAAGGTTTTATGATTCACTCCTATTCGAAATTTGGCATATTTTTTGTACACTAATTCTAATTTAAGAGAGAATTAGTAAAACATGGGTGATCGATTTATTGAAATCTCCACAAATTATAATTTGCCCCATCTTAGTACTACATGCACGCAATATCTTTATTCCTTCTCCATTTCAATTTTAAAAACTCTATTTTGCACTTTTTTGGGTAATAAACTGATTTCTTGATGAATTTTTCCTCTGTATATGATTAGTCAAGTGTCTAAATGAAGTATGCAGCTATTATTTAAACGTATGCTTTCTTACTCTAATTCCTCTATGGATTCTTACTCCATATGATTACATAGGATGTAGACTTAGCCTAGGCCCCTTGTTCCATTTATCACATATTCCCAAAATGATACCATCTTATTCTAGAAATTGTGCTAAAAATAAGTATGTTTTAAACTGTGCTCATAATCTTTGCCAATGTAATATGGGTGTCTAAATGAAAGTAGTGTAGAACTTGTGCCATAAGCATGATATTTGAACCTATGCTTTCTTACTCTAATCCCTCTATCAATTTCTTCTTGGTCATCTGTACAGTTTCATATGAGTTGCAATCTAAGCCACACAAGTTATTAATTTGACATTTATTCCATACTTTTAATCTATATTTATTTTTGGTTGACCTCATGAATATTTGGTGGTTGTGTCAAGTTCACACTCATTCTGCACGTATATATGAAAGAATTGATTCGGAGAAAAACTCTCTCGTATTTCTTGTGTTTACAATTTACAACTAACGCATGTATATATAGGTTCTCACAAGTCGAGAATCCTAACTAAACAAGGAAAGGAAATCAAATCTCTATACAAGTAAACTACTAATACAAGGAAATTACCAAAACTAATATATACGAAAATATATTCCAAATATTCTCTTTCCTTTTACACCCCCCCTCAAGTTGGAGCATGTAATGAAGAAATGCCCAACTTGGGAATAAGAAACTCTAGTCGTGACTTCCCAAGCGCCTTCGTATGAATATCTGCGAGCTAATGCGTCGTAGGTACATGCAAGGTGCGAATCTCTCCTCGTAAAAGTTCATCACGAACAAAGTGACAATCAATCTCAACATGCTTCGTGCGTTCGTGAAAAACTGGGTTAGCAGCAATGTGAAGGGCCGCAGTGCTGTCACAGCGAACAGTCATAGGGTTCTTATGTTCAACCCCTAGACATCGCAATAAATTCTTCAACCACTTCAACTCACACGTAAGAACCGCAAGAGCCCTATACTCAGCCTCAGCAGACGAACAAGCCACCGTTGTCTGCTTCTTTGTCTTCCACGAAACAGGTGAGTCCCCAATTTGCACAAACCAGCCTGCAAGCGGCCGCCGTGTCAAGGGACATGCTGCCCAGTCCGAATCACGCCATCCTTTGAGCTGAAGACTGTTATCTGCACACAGGAAAATGCCCTGCCTAGGACATCCCTTCAAATAACAGACCACCCCAAGTGCTGCAGACCAGTGATCCTCCCTCGGTTCCTTCAAAAATTGTGCTAAAGTATGCATTGCATAAGAAAGCTCCGGTCGTGTAACAGACAAATATACTAACCGTCCCACCAAACGGCGATATGGTTCTGAATCTATCTCTATCAGAAGGGGAGCTTGGGAACGAGCCAAATGATGATTTGGCTCCATGGGTGCACCTAACGGCCTGGCTCCTAACAATCCGGCTTCAGTAACAATATCCAAAGCGTACTTCCGTTGGCAGAGAAATATCCTAGACCTGGTCCTCGCCACCTCAATACCAAGAAAGTATTTCAGTGTCCCCAAGTCCTTCATATGAAAACAATTCCCTAGATATGCCTTGAACTTGCTCACCATCTCTGAATTATCTCCAGCAATAATTAAATCATCAACATAAACCAAAACATGTATGACTCCTTTCTTTCCAACGAAAGAGAATAAGGAGTAATCAGGAACAGACTGAACAAACCCATAGCGCCTCAAAGCTCCAGACAACTTGGCAAACCAACACCTTGGAGCTTGTTTCAAACCATACAAAGATTTCTTCAATTGGCATACTACATTAGAAGCATTGGAAAAACCTGGTGGCAGTCGCATGTACACTTCATCCTCAAGATCTCCATGAAGGAAAGCATTGTGCACATCCATCTGATGCAACTCCCAACCCTTCGCAGCTGCAACAGCTAGAAGAGTTCGTACTGTAGTTAACTTGACCACAGGAGCAAATGTTTCCTTGTAGTCAAGTCCCTCAACCTGATGATTGCCCAGTATAACCAGCCTTATATCTTTCCACACTGCCATCGGACTTGCGCTTGATTTTATACACCCATTTGCAGCCAAGGGGCTTTTTATGACGTGGAGGAGCAACCAGCGACCACGTTCCATTAGCTTCCAGTGCATCAATCTCCTCCCGCATAGATTTTCGCCATCGCTCATCCTGAAATGCCTTTTTCAAGTTCGTGGGCTCCACTTCCTCATCAAGTGCCGTGAGAAAACACTTGTGTTTATCAGAAAACTTCTCATACGTGACATATGAGGAGAGCGGATACCTGCATCTTTCTCCGCTATGTGGTCTAGTAACATGTGTAACATAGTCCGCAAGTCTCACATTTGGGCATCTTTCCTGTTGACTACGCCCCAAAGTCTCCACTGCTTGCTGGGAAGAGGACGGTCGACCGCCATCCGTGGAACGGTCCACGGGGTCGACCGTCTGTAGCATCGCTGGTTCAGTAGTGTTCTGCCTCGGGGACGGTCGACCGCCATCCGTGGAACGGTCCACGGGGTCGACCGTCTATAGCTGCGCTGGTTCATCAGGTTTCTGCCTTGAGGACGGTCGACCGTCCTCCATGCCGCGTTTGACCGTTGATCCATCCCCAGAAGACCCGTCATTCTGTCGTGCCGACGGTCGACCGTGGTCTTCGGCACGGTCCACGGGGTCGACCGTCTAAAGCCCTTCTACCTCCATATTTCCCGGCGGTTGACTGTTCCTTCAGGAACGGTCCTGATGGTCCTCCGTGGATAGATCCTCAACATCTTCAAAATAATCGGTGGTTGGGTTGCTTCTCAATGCATCTTCTTTGGGTGTTTCACCTGTGGAAAACAAGAAAGGAAAAATGTCTTCACAGAACACAACATCACGGGACACGCTGATCTTTCCGGTGTCAGGAAAATAGACGCGCCATCCCTTCTTCCCTTGTGGATAACCCAAAAATATTCCAGGAATACTTCTGGGTCCAAATTTGTCTCCGTCCTTCTTCAGATTGTGGACATAACATCTGCAACCAAAAACACGAATGTGAGTCAGCGGCGGTGACCTCCCATAAAGCCTCTCATACGGCGTCACCCCCCCTAGCAATGACGAGGGTGTCCGATTGATCAAATAGGCTGCAGTCTGTATACAATCTCCCCAGAATTCAATCGGAAGACCGGCTTGAAACCTCAGAGCACAACCCACGTTCAGAATATGCCGATGTTTACGTTCCACTCTACCATTCTGTTGTGGTGTAGATACACAAGATATCTCGTGAACTATACCCTTTTCTTGGAAGTATTCATTTAAGCACTCAAATTCTGTACCATTATCACTACGCACATTTTATTTTCCTCTCAAACTGGCGTTCAAT